TACTGATGAAGAGTCCCAAACTAGGACGAAACAGCTGTCCAGTACTCCCAGGTTTTCCAGTGGTTCTCTAATTGATGTCAGCTCATGATGAAAATCCTGTAAAAAATAAAGTGGTATGACTAGTACTGGCGGCAGAGGATTCAGTATAGCAGGTGGAAGCTAAAATGTGACAGAAGTGGTGTGACATCATAAATGAACAAAATATACAAAGGTTTTGAACTTGGTGAGTATGAAATATTTCAGAGCACACGAAATGACATAAATTTGATTCATCTTAAAATGTTTCTCGTGTTTGATTGAAGAAGACTTATACAGTGAACTAAAAGTGTGAAGGGAATATCGGGAAGACCAAGGTATTTCTTGTGAATGATTAATCTCTACATAATTGATGCAAAGCTATTATTTTCTTCAGCGACCGAAAAGAAATCCTCCAGTTAACGAATACTTGTAGATCCGATAAGATCCTACTGGGGGAAAATGACTTAACGATTAGTCTTCAGGGTTGATACAGGTAGTTGCACATTTGACAACATGGTGATAGGGTGAACCACTCACGTCTGTAATCGGATCAATTGATATTCCAAATTGCTTTCACCTATTCTAAAGTGATTAAATAACCATGCTTCATTCGTTTCAGAATGTGTTAAATGTCTTGCTTAATCATTTCTCTAATTCAGAAATTTTGTTTTGCTAGACACAACACTCTTCATTACATCAAGATATTTTTGTAGACTTATTACTATCATATTTACCGTTTTATCTTTATTGGGTTCACAAAATGATTTATGTTAGCTCAGCATTTTCGACTGAATATTCTAGGAGCGATCAAGGAAAATGGATTATTATTAATATATTATTGTTCCCTTGGGTTCCTAGTGGAACATAGGGCTTCAACTGCACGCCTCCACTTGCTTCTGTCTTCTGCTGTACTTTTCACCTGCATCCATGTTAGTCCATACTGTTTCAGCTCCTCTTCACACGATCTCCTCCATGTCACCCTTGGACGTCCCACTCGTCGCTTCCCTTTCGGGTTCCCCTCGAGGGTCTGACGCGCGATGTCACCCAACCGACTCCTCAGCGAGTGTCCAGTCCATCTCCAGATTTGAGTGCTAGGTAATGGACTGCGGATACTCTGGCATCATGAGTTCTATTTGAATTGCTCTTTGTCAACCTTAGCTTGTTATTCTGCTTACGAGTTGACTTGTGAAATAGAATTGGTTATGATTAGGAATGGACACGTTGCATAACGCGGTTTCTATACAAATCAGTTAAATGAGGCGTAGAAGTCTTTTTAATTCCACACAAGTTTATGCATCAGTTAACCTTCTTCTTACAGCAACTCTCTCTCTCTCTAAATACAGCAGCTGTTTTCAAACTGCTGATATTTTCAATGAATCCATCAATCATAAATTTTAAAAGTGACTTTATTGTGTGTTTTTTTAATGGAAACACTTTTCTAGCTTTTCTAGAAAATTCAACTAATTAACTTTAATTAAAGAATCCTAGATGCACAGTGATGGTGATTCATTACTGCTTTGGTTTTTCAAAAACGTGGTTTAGTAAATCATCAACTAAATTCTAGATAGGAGAAATGACGATATAACTAGTGATTTTACAACATTAATCACTGGTTTCAGTACTGGTCAAAAATACACTTGCCGTGTTGAAGTAAACATGTATATATATTGTCTTCAGAGGAAAGCTTTGACGATTTTTTAGAATTTTCTAGCTATGTATGGATAAAAAGTCAAACGGTTGAATTATTGTGCACCATAAGAAAAGTTTTATCTGTCAACATTCTGCTCTTAAAGGTAACAAATACATTTGAAAAACAAATTAAGAATTAAGTTAATTATTGGAGTAAATGGATTGTCGGCCATCATAGTCAAGGACAAACAGTTACCGCCTTGGGTTTTCTGCAGGGTTTCTGATGCATTGCTGCATCATAGAATTTATGATCTCTCATATCCTCCTCGCATAATCTCCCATATGTCACCCTCGGACGACCTAATCTTCGTTTCCACTAGAGAGATGGCCTGGAGCGTGATATCATTTGATGGTCTCCTACATGTTTGCCGATCTATCACCATTTTCTCCTACACACTTATTGAACGACAGATTTCCGGTCAGTTTGTTCCCATAGTTTCTTGTTGCTAATACTTTCTGGCCAGCCATTTGATCTTCAATACGGAGTCAGCGAAAGCAGCTGTTGATAAAAGTGTGTAGCCTGTTAGAAATGCTTTTCGTTGTGCACCAAGTTTCTGATCCATACAGAAAAAGTGACTGACTTAACATTGTTGTTGAAAATCCGAATTTTGTTCTCTATTCTCCAGAGTGCAGATAATCTCCAAGCCGATTTCAGAGTGATGAAGATGCATCTTGCCTTTCCGATTCTGGCTGGCTTTGACATCTTCAACCGTTCTGACTGTGTGTGATTGAAACCGTGCTTACTGATGCGACAAGTGAAGGAGGTAACCTCTTTCAAATCTCTCCCGTTGATGGTGATTGGTGCTGGTTGTTGTTGTTGTTGCTGATGTTGATTGGTTATCTTCATCACCGGTGTCTTCTCTATGTTCACCTGGAGTCCTATCTTCGCTACCAGCCACTTTAGCCAGTTTCTTGATCTTCGCATGCAAGTCTTCGAGGTTGTGTGACATTAAACATATATCATCCGCACGCGAATTCCAGATCTTCTAAAGTCTTCTTATCGGTCAGTGTCTCGTCGCTCCCAATGCACAGTTTGACGTATAACCCAGTTCACCGCAATTAAGAATATCATCGGTGATAATAAACAGTCCTTTCTTATTCCTGTGTGCACTTCGAATGCCTCGATGAGTTTCCTATTGTGGATCACTTGACACATGGGATTTCGTAATAGCCAGGTATTGAATGAGGTTGATGAAGACTCGGGCACTTCATGCCGTAATGTTGATGTGGTTTCCAAATTACTTCTTGCTCAACGCTGTCTGGTGAAGGCCTTCTCAAAGTCGATGAAGTTGTGATAGAGTTGTGACTGCCATTTTATGCTTTGTTCTGTGACGATGATGCGTACAGCTGCAATTTGATCAGCATATGATTTGCCTTCCCTGAATCCAGTTTGTTCCGATGGGTGGAGTTCTGTTACCAGTGCGTCCTTTATTCTCTCCAGGACAATGCGACTTAGTATTTTACTTGGCGTGGACAAGAGCGTTATTCCACACCAATGAGTGTAAGTTGCAGAGGTGTAAGTTACCTTTTTTGGCAGCTCGATGAGGTAGCCATTTTTCCAATCGGTAGGCATTTTTCCTTCCTGTCAAACCTTTGGCAATAATGGCGTCAGTATATCTGCTGCAGCCCTTGGGTCCATTTTCAGTGCTTCGGAGTGAACTTCGTCTGGTCCCGCTGCCTTCCCAGGCAACGTTCAGCAGCTTGATTGCCTTTAGGATTTCTTCTTTTGTTGGAAGATTGGTATCCGCTAGCAGTTCTGTGAGTGTTGTTGGGCATGGTGTATTTCTGAGTGAGTTGCAAGTGATAGTCGACTCAAGAGTCCTTTAAAGTGATCGGCCCATTGTTTTATTTGTTCCTCCTCCTTGGTGATCAGGTTCCCTTGAGCATCTTTTATTGGTTTCCTCACCTGCGTTGATCTCTTCCCGGATGGAGACTTGGTTATCTGATAACGTGTCCTTGTGTCTCTCTTGCCTACGGCTTGCCTGTTCTGCTTCAATTGCCGGCTAGTGTGTCGTAGAATTGCCTTATGTCTTTCCTAGCACTTTGTTCACTGCAGTGTGCATTGAACTCAGCTTCTCCTTCTGTTGTCCATCTTTGCATTGAGTCATCTTCTCTTTCGCCATCCTCCTCTCCTCGATTGGCTTCCAGATATCCGTTAACAGCCATTCCTTGTCTTGTCTCTTCTTTCCTCCTAGAACATTTGTGCACGTTTCTTTGAACATCACCTTCAGAGAGTCAGTTCTAATGTTCTTATCGTTTTAAAAATCTGATTCACTTCGCTTTTTTGAGATCGAACATCATTTATCTAACTGTGTTTCAATTAATATTTTCATCAGTTTCGTTGTTAACACTTATGTAACTGATTTTGGTCAAGACAGTGTTTCTTAATCAATAAAAACCCCATCATTTTAACTTCTTGTATTATTCAAACATACTTTTTTATTTCCTAATGTTTAGCTTACTCTGGAGAAATAAATCAGATACTTATTTAACATTCGTGAAAATTATGTCACCATTCTATTTTCTGAAGTTATTTTCGAATTCCTCACTGAACAGAAATGTTCTGCACCTACTGATATGTCAACGCCTAGTATGGATGCTTCAATGAAATTAAGAAGAATTCATTCCATTCAAGTTCACCGAAGAAACTAAATGTATGATTTCATTTCATTACGTCAATGACTCCGATATGCTCAGTTTACATGAGTGAATCATAATGCATCATCGACACTGTCTCCTGAGAATTCCAGGTAACCTGTGGTAATGAGTGATCTTCAAGTATCGGTTTTGTAGGGATTTTGTTTGACTGGTTGGAGGATTTCATCATGAGCTGACATCAATTAGAGAACCATTGGAAAACCACCTTGGAGTACTAAACAGCTGCTTCGTCCTGGTTTGGAGCTCTTCATTGGCATGTGCTCACTGGCAATCGAACCCAGGACCTTCTGGTTGCAAGGCGAGCTAGCTTATAGACCATTAATCCACTGGGACCCGATCCAATGGCCCATGAATTCTACCTTCTGCCAATTCATGACATAGCACGACCACTTCGCAATATCCTCTTCGATTAGTAACTGCCTCATCTTCAACCTGCTGCACCCCACTGGTCACGGCTTCCCATTAGAAACTCAGGTTAACTGCCTGAATTGGACCAGTCGCTAATGAGCATTAGATTAATTTTCATCGCGGAGATTATAATATTTGAAGACACTCAATTTATTCCCATCAGTCTCCCACTGCTTAGTAAGCTATCATGAATAATACTTAAGTATTTATCTATAAAAATAAGAAAAGACCAATTGTAGGTATCTATTTACCTTTTGTCTGATTACAACAGGTTTCTAAAGTAATCAAGAGAAACAAAATACAGAGGAGAACTGGATCAAATTTCATCCATTTTTTTCCTGAAGATGTAAGCATATAAGCACTCAAACATACAATATTTTGAGACAACAAAAAAAATCATGAATGACACTGCATGAACCATTCATGTCAAAACGTTACAAATTATCAAGGAGAAGTTAAATAGAAGATAAATCACATAGGTAATTCGTTTTGTTTTCCTAGTGTGTTGTAAAAAAGGATGTTGGGCTTATTTAACTTTATCCTTCGACTAACTTACCCAACAACAACAGAGAGAAGGGGACATGAAGTAACAGAAAAACTTACAAAACCACAAAAAAAGCATATAGTATGTATGTCATAACTGTAAATGCACCCATCGATCACGCTCTTCCTATAGGGACTATTGTTTTATCCGTCTGTACTAGACGTCTAACTGTAGGTATACCTAAAGTCAATTTAACTCATAATGTTCCATATTTTGGTTCATAAATTTTTTCCATAAAACAAGACTTAAATTTTAAAAAAAACCAATGCAGATACACAGGTCATGATGAAAAGAATATCAAGAACAGAGAAACATAGAAAGCGAAAGTAAATGAGAAATTTTTATATGTTGTCCGGTTTAAACTAATATTTATATTATGTTGTTGTTGTTGTTTTTAATTGGAAAGCCTTTCTTAGAGTATAAATTAACGCCATGGTTCATAGAGTCGTATATCACCTTCTAGTTGGGAAATTTGTAAATCCTTTTCTGCTAGTTGTTTTCTTAAACGTTGAATTTCTCTTCGTTGTTCGATAAATGCTTCGCGCAGCTGAAATGTAACAAAAAGAAGGATGGAAGAGGTGCAGGGATCATCTAACTTGAACTGTACAAAATGATTATTCTAGACTCTACAGAGGAAAGAAAAATAAACTATTCGTAGTGAAGAAGGCGACAAAATCCTGTAGTGGTTACAGTAATCATATTTCAAATGAATTCACTAAAAGTGTAATGCATAAGAAAAACACTGTAAGCCGAAAAACAACGAAAGAACATATGCACAACTTCTCTATCCAGTAATCTGCAGGAATCCTTGGCCCTAGGTTTCGTGGCAGTTGGCAGTCGTAAATAAGGCGTATCTGCAACCTTGACTAATAGAATTCAGTCTGAACCAAACAAAGGATTAGACACACGACACAAGTCACTGACTAGTGTGCAGTCAAAAAATATCCAATACAGTCCTACAGGAGGTTAATCACGACCCCGAATTGCTCGGTGGTAACATCTCTGACAGCAGGCAGCAGGCAAAAGGGACCTGAGGACACTATATCAGATAACCAAGTCTCTATCCGGGAAGAGATCAACACAAGTGAAACCTATAAAAGACAGCCAAGGGAACCCAATTACCAAAGAAGAAAGACAGATTAAACAATGGGCGGACCACTTCAAAGGACTCTTGAACCGACCACCACCTACAACCCATCCAGTAATACCAACAACAGCACGTACACAACTGCAAGTTGACACCAATCCTCCAACGAAAACTGAAGTCATGAATGCGATCAAGCTTCTGAAAGCTGGAAAAGCAGCTGGACCAGATGGAATACCCCCGGAAGCACTGAAAGCGGACCCAGAAACGACGGCAGATATGCTGACTCCATTATTGAAAAAGATCTGGAAGGAGGGAAAGGTGCCTACTGACTGGAGGAAAGGTTACCTCGTGAAACTACCAAAGAAGGGCGACCTGGGACTCTGCAAGAACTGGCGAGGAATCATGCTCCTGTCGACGCCAAGTAAAATCCTGAGTCGCATCATCCTGGAGAGAATCAAGGACGCGCTGGATACAGAACTCCGACCAGAACAAGCTGGATTCAGGAAAGGCAAATCATGTTCTGACCAAATTGCAACTCTACGCATTATCATCGAACAAAGCATGGAATGGCAATCAAATCTCTACCTCAACTTCATAGACTTTGAGAAGGCCTTCGACAGCGTTGACCGCGAAGTAATTTGGAAACTACTCGAGTACTATGGCGTACCGCAAATATTCATCAACCTTATTCAACAACTGTACGACAACGGCACATGTCAAGTGATCCACAATGGAAAACTCAGTGAGGCGTTTGGAGTAAACACAGGAGTCAGACAAGGGTGCTTATTATCACCAATGATATTCCTAATTGTGGTGCACGACTGGATTATGCGTCAGACAGTGGGAAACGAGAAGACAGGGATATCCTGGACCGACGTGAAGAACCTAGAAGACCTGGATTTCGCGGATGATTTATGTTTGATGTCACACAAAATCGAAGACTTACAAGCGAAAGCCGACAAACTGGTCGAAGAAGCAGCAAAGACAGGACTCCAGGTGAACATAGACAAGACGGAGGTTATGAAAATAAACAACCAACAACAGCAGCAACATCCAGTGCCAATCACCATCAACGGGAGGGATTTGAAAGAGGTTACTTCTTTCACTTATCTAGGGAGCATTGTCTCAACCACAAGAGGAACGGACAAAGATGTCAAATCGAGAATCGGAAAGGCGAGAAACACATTCATCAACCTGAAACCAATCTGGAAATCTTCGTCACTCAACATCAACAACAAAATTCGGATTTTCAATACAAACGTCAAGTCAATTTTGCTTTACGGATCAGAAACTTGGCGGGTCACCAAGAATATTTTCAACAGGTTGCAGACCTTTATCAACAACTGTCTTCGCTCCATACTGAAGATTAGATGGCCAGAAAGAATCACAAACAAGAAGCTATGGGAACAAACGAAACAGGAACCAATCGCCCAACAAATATGCAGGAGAAAGTGGAGATGGATTGGACACTCGCTGAGGAGGCTGTTGGGTGACATCGCGCGTCAGGCCAACGCTCGAGTGGCACCCGAAAGGGAAGCGGTGAGTGGTTCTTCGGTGCAAGGGTGACATGGAGGAGATCGTGTGAAGAGCGATTGAAACAGTATGGACTAACATGGATGCAGGTGAAAAGTACAGCAGAAGACAGAAGCAAGTGGAGGCGTGCAGTTGAAGCTCTATGTTCCACTAGGAACCCAAGGGAACAATAATAATAATAATAATAACATCTCTGACTGTAGCACTGGGTGATGCGGGTTTGAATCTCAGAAGGGACATGAGTTTCTTCAAGGCTGCAGATACACCTTGCTGACTATTACCAACTTCCCCAAAACCTAGACCAAGCAAGGCTTCCTGCCGATTGCCTACAACCATCTGAAGTTTCCCCGTCAATGGCGTTTTGTTTTATCGGTTAGTTTGTTAGCTCCAGGAATAACTTCCCCTCTTTTTTTCTGGGCTCAATATCGGCTAGAAATCTAAGCAGTCTATAAGAGTGCGCTGACCACACATGGCTGGTGAGCTTTACACCACTGAACAACTAACCCATACATACACTATAAATATGCTGAACTAAAACTTCTGGTTAACAGTCTTAGCTACTCCACGTACTCCATTCATCAGTTTCCTTTCCTTGCTCATACCGGTAACCAAAGTTTCCTTGTCACCTTTGATTCTCTCTTATCTTAATTATTTTGTGTAGTACTACTCAAGAAAACAAAGATCCATAGGTTAGATGAATATACTAGTGACAATAACATCTTCTCAAACGTTTGAGGATGCATCAACTGACTAACCTCTGTTAACGTTCACCTAAATGCAATCTTTGCAAAGTTCAAACCCAGATACTACAATCGTTTACAATCGTCTAACTGAAATATATCTTCTATGCTGAGGATATGCATTTTCTTATAATTCCCCTGTTCTGTTTTGGCTATACATAATGATACCTTTGGTATCCTACTACCTAACGTCGTCATTTAGACCAAAGTAACACAGACCACTATAATATTTGCTATTAAAAACATTCTATCCTGTAAAATAACTTTTAAAAGTCGAAAAGTCAATATAATTAAATATGTATTGACTAACTGTTCAAACGACAACATTCCTTGTATCGACAATAAAGCATTATTCAACCTTTTCATCCATTATCATAAAAGAATGATGTTTAAATAAGGAAAACATGTACAATCTTAGACGATTAACATTCTCAAGTAATTTATTTCTCCATGTAAACACAAGAAAACGATAGAAATAACAGAATTTTTGTGTATAACGGAGATAAGAAGGAGGATATTTCAAGGCTATCAGACTACCCTTAGAATTAAGGTATACAATCATATTCTAAGCTTAATTTTCTGGATAGAGCAAGCCAAGAGTGTGAAAACAAATTGATGTACAAAGAATGGAAACAAAAGACATCAATATTTAGCTGGTTTAATTTCCCGACATGGGAAATGTATCGAAGTATATGAATAATGTTTACTAATACACACTGGTTTTCATGTTACGTCACTTTGGCACCAGAAATCGGTAAAATGAAATATATGTCTCTAAAAAGTGCGGTGTATGTGTCTCACTTATAAATATTGGCAACAGACCGTCTTTCTTTTTAAAGAAAATACTATATCGAACTTGAAGGGATCTAATTTAGAAATTGTTTATTTTAGACAAAACCTCTGTGACGTCTTAAACACAGCCTGATAAAAATTACTTCCCAATAACCGATTTAAAAGAATGAGAAATAGCCCAAGGAAATTTACAGTATTCAAAGGCTTTCAAAGCATTGCAGAGTAAAATTTACAGTCAAAGTTTCCATATATATGTATTTCCCAATGCAGGCTCACTTCTGCTCATAACTTAATCACCCTTAAGACAAGTAGCGTGCAGTTGATGAAGGTAGTTCCTGAGTTACAAAACTTATATGAATATAGCTACTTGAAAACAATACAAGTGACTAAACATATGAAGTTATAAAATGACTAAGAAGAGTATTTTAAATAAATCTTTGACTCACGAACCAAAATCATAAAGCTGCAAATAACCCTGTGAATGGAATTTCCTAAAACACTGGAAACATCGATTTTCCTGTGTATTAGCCTTTAAAACGTTGGTTTGATAGTATTAAAAACACTAGAGGAATCAATACTTTATAGCTTAATTCCAGTTGTCAGCAGCATCATGCTAGGTATCGATTATTCAGTGCTGCAGTGTGGACTTGTGACAAGTGGGATCTAATGTATCAAGGGGAAGTGGATGCTTGTCTAAAGCATTGTAGAGTGCAGCGGTATATTATGAGTTAGCAGAGTTGAAATTCATTCAAGGGTTAGTGGATTCCAGTCCAAGTGTCTGAATAATCAACAAGCTTGGTCTTATAACTTGAAGGTCCCAGGTTCGATTTTCTGTGGGGTCGTAGAGGAGTACTGTTGAACAGCCTCAAAATAGAACGAAATTTCTGTCCAGTTCTCTCAGGATTTCAATGATCTCCCTAGCTGATTATAATTCCACTTATTTCTTCATGTCTAAAATTCCAGCTGGTGTAGGTCATCTTCTGAATATGTGAAGTATGTTGGACTACACAACATCGAACATCGCGTGTGGAGGATAATCCAAATACGGATGACTTTCTTAAACTTACTTTGCCAAATGCTATCCAGATATCCTGTCTGGAAAGAAAATTTTTAGCACAATAAAATGCATACACTTAACATATCATAATGCTATGCAACATACGAGGAAAAGTACAAACCTTTTGATAGTCTGTAGGTAAATGACTTAGAAGTTCAGATTTTTTCGGTGCACCTGTTATCTGTAAAAATAAAAATAAACGAAAAAAAATAAAAATGAATACATGAATTGTGAATGAATGTAAATCTTCATCTGGACACGCTACTTTGTCCTAAGAAGTTTAACAGAAAATGCATTATAAATGGTCTTTTTTAATGTGTATCTTGGATCTTTCAAATGCACTCTTAGTGGGTTTTGTTGCCAATACCAAAAAATAGTGACACGAAAGATACAAACATGAACTATTGATATTCGTGTAAATTAGAAGTAGAAAGGAAGCTTATTGGCGAATAAAATTCAACTCAGTGACACGGCATTCAGATTACTTGGAAAAAAGTTAGGGTATTTGTTAAATGACACAACTTCCGTTGTACCTTAAATTGCTGAACTGTTATATCTCTGACGTATTACCATATCTCCTCAACCATATTATATTTCACGGCTTAAAGTATACTTTATTCTTCAATAACACCCAGTACACAGATTAGATATCACTGTTTTGCTAAAATACTGAGATATATATATATATATGAGGAATTAAGTTATATTAAGTTTTGGTTTACAGCGATTTGCCAGCTACAGGATTTATCACGAGCTGACATCAGTTAGAGAACCACTGGAAAAAACTGGAGTTCCAGTCGCCCGTTTCATCCTAGTTAGGGACCCTTCAACAGACGTAGCCGCCGGGGTTCGGACCCAGGACCTACTGGTTAGGTCCCAGTAGCTGAATGGTCTATGAGCTCACCCCGTAACCAGAAGGTCCCTAGTTCAAACCCCGGTGGGTGTGTACCGCTGAAGAATCTCAAAATAGGGTGGAATAGCTATCCAGAATTAAGTTCTCACAATTAACATATGCAACAATCGCCTGCATACTTTGGCAAAGTAACTACACTTAAGAGCCAGCACTTTCTTTGCCTTCAGGTTAGATCACAGATTAAAATCGGTTAGAAAACCAATGAAAATCCTGGAGTACTGCTTCGTCCGTTCTTATAACTCTTCATCAGTTTGTGCCCATGATCTTACCGGGTATCAAAACCAGGATCTTCAGATCATGAGGCGTGTTGTTGGCCATTCCGCCACTGTGATGGAATCCAGTGGCTCGTGAATTCGGACTTTTTCCAACTCTCAAATTTTAGCGTTAGTTACACCCAACCTGATCGAACCTAGAATTTACGACTCCTCACTGGAAGTCCAGACAACTTCTAACTGCGGTCAGTTACTACTGAGGATCAGATTAATTTTCAGATGTTAGCTTGTGGGCACTTGATTGGTTGCAGACTTGACCGCGAATTAGTATTAGTTAAAGAACTATTGAAAACCAGGAAGTACTGGGCTGTCTAGTGGTTGAATAGTAAAGGAACTCTCATTGTAACCTGAAGTTGTTGAGTTAGATCTTTGGTGGGATCATGCGCGCATACTGCTAGAGAGTCTGGAACAGTGATGGAAAGGCTGGCTACTACTACCTTGTTTTCAATGGTTCTCTAACAGACACTAATCTGTGATGACACCTGAGACCAATGCAATCCCTACGAAGTAATACTTAAAAGTCGGATCTACGTCTATCACCTGTATATTGATTGCAGTCTCTTCTCAGTGTCAGGCTTTTAGAAACTATCTTGAAACCAAGTTTTAAATCATGCGTGTATGGTTTAATAATAGAATGCTCATGAGCCTCGCTGGACGTGAGGTTTGGACTTCTAGCTAACTCAATCTTAAACACTGTATGGCTTACTAGACAGTATTAAACCCAAAGAAAAACAATGAGGCTATCCACTCCACCCCGCCACTGCTACTGAAACTTAAAAGGTTGAAACCCTCTGTTTCACTTGGAACTCGAGGCATGATAACAATTATAGGTTCTTTTTCATAGGTTAGTCAGTACAAAATTCGAACACTACACTGAAAGACTTTGGTGTGAACCGTGAAATAACCTGTCAGTGTTTCAACATTAATAGTTAACTTTATACGTAATAAGCTTGTTGATACAAATTATAAATGAATTCAAGTAACGCTAACTAATTCACTGAAACTCACATCTGATTGCTTATGCGTAGCATTTGTATCATTCGTCTGAGGTTCAATTCTTCGTGTGAAAGAGCCAATAATAGGCTAAAAATGAAATGGAAACAAACATATACTTAGAAAAAAAATCATTTTCAAATCTGTTTTACACATTATCACTGAATTAAAAACTATTAAAAATAAGCCTTTTTAATAAAAACCAGGAACCGATCGTGAAACAAATAGGCAGGAAGAAATGGAGATGGATTGGCCACACTCTGAGGAAACCAGCAAGTGACATCACTAGACAAGCCATTGCTCGAGTGGAACCCGAAAGGGAAGCGACGAGTTGGTCGTCCAAAGGTGACCTGGAGGAGATCATGTGAAGAGGAATTGAAAGCGTGTGGGCAGACTTGGAGCCAGGTGAAAACTACAGCAGAGAACCGAACGCAATGGAGACGCATGGCTGAAGCCCTATGTTCCTCTAGGAATTAAAGGAAATAATAATAATAAAAACTTCGTATATTGGTCAGTTTTTTTTAAAATTCAAAGAGGTAAGTTTGGTCACTAACATATTTCCGTAAATGGATTTCAAAAAATTGTCACTATAAAACTTCCGCGGAAGAAGAAACTTTTAATTTTTCAAGAGGATTTTTCTCCTCTTTTTCCCGAAAGATGAAAATTGCCCATGTAATAAACACTTTTCCCAAATTTATTCTATTTTGTCACGGGTTTCCAAAATAATTAGTTTAGTAAGGCTGTATAGAAAAAGCGAAACACACGGATTAGGTTGTTTTACTGATTGCTTTTCCCGACTATGAAAAAGAGGATATAGTAAGGTTATCTACTAATAGTTTGTCTCACTTCTGCATGCTTTCACCCCGAAGAATGCTTATTAACTGCTCTGGTTGGTGAGAAGATGAATGAAGCATCTTATCCGAGATTTTCTTTCTTCCTTCACGTTCCCCAGTGGAACATAGGGCTTCAAGCTATTGGCCTGAAGTTTATGTAGAAGTGTTTATTTTACAGGATGGGGTTGCTAGCCTCATGCCCAACCCTTCCTCTTCACTAGCATTATTTCTGCCTTAGCGAGGTAAAGGAGTTCGTCGGCTGGAGATCGAACCCCGGACCATGTGCATGGTCGGCGAGCGTCCTAACTGCTATGCAACTGACGCTCTTAACCAAGAAGTGAAACATAACTAACTGCTTGCTCTCTGATAATAGAATAACTGTATCTGAGAGGTAGATTTTAAAAGTAACAACCATTTATTACTTTGAAAATTATTCTAATAATTTCAAATTTATTTAATTGTTCTTCTCACTAAGTAAAACTGTTTTCAAATACACGTATTGATTCTTCCTCTATATATGAATACTGCATCCGATTCAGATAACCTATTGACTCAAGTTATTAGCATAAATAAATTGTCTACACCTGTTTAAAACTGGATGACCGTACTGATTATTGTGTAAGGTTACGGAAATTACATTTGGAGAAAGACACTTAGGGTTATGTTACTCCTATAATCTGGAGTGCTTACTGTTTAGAATCAAGTTACTTGGAAATGATTTTTCATATACTAGATTATGGATCACTTTTATTGTGTGACGGATTATGATACCGCTTAGTTGGTAAGGTTGCATAAGGTGAAGCGGTATGCAAACCCAAGGTCTACTGACTGGAAGTCGAATAAATCACATTCCCTGAGTATTTAGACTTTTAAACAATATCCCACCTGTCATCAGCCCAAATAATCAATAATTTTCATCCTATTTCCTGTTTACTAATAGCTAAAAATAACTTCTAACAACAGGAGAATGTTCGCCAACCGTGCACATGGTCAGGCTGAGTCACACTTTCACTTCCCTCAGCCAGTTGTAAGCTCAGCAAAGTGGGAAGGCTAGGCCGGGGACTACCAGCCCTACTCTGTAAAAGAAACACCACTGCCACTTGAAGCTTGAAGCCCTATGTTCCATTGGGAAAGCAAAAGGGATGAAAAATAACAATCAGCAAAGTGTATCTGCAGCCTAGAAGAAAGCCGATATCCTCTCATAGATGTGAACTTGTATCATCCCGTACTTTCTGTCTTTAAGCAGATCACCCTCGACCAAAACTTTCTATGGTAACTGAAACCCTGAAAGATTCAGATTCTAATCACAAAGGGTACATGAATTTATAAGTGGTGTTACGGATACGAGTCGCTAACATATACCAATAAGTATAAAATCCAGGATGATGGATTTCTGTGAATTACCTTCATCCATCTAACACATACAGACAAATCCACTGATTGTTTATTGATCGTTGTGGAGACAAATAGGAATCAAGGTGAATGATTATCACCTTTATTACAATAACAATCTATGATATAAATATAGAAAAATAAAGTGCTTCTAGCAATCCTCCTGAATTATTTTAACCACTTTTTATAGAAAACAAAATTCCCCATGGAACGATGAATTTCTTTTTTAAAAGATTTAAAAGGAATGCACTTGAACCACACTGTAAATAATAATAGTAATAAGAGACCAGTTATTTCTGCACTTCTAATCATGTAGCTAATCGATAGTAAACACACACTTACCATGTGTACATATGTGTGTATGTGTGTGTGTGTGTGCAGATGTGTATTCTTATTATATTCAGGGATATTTTTAATCTAAGAAATTCTTGTCACTTAAATGTGTCTAGACTTTGCATAATTCTGTTTTGGTGTATAAAGTTCATATATATACATAATGATAGTATTGGTGAATGTGACTACAGAACTTAACAGTACACAGTAGCCTTGTAGGCTGATAAAACTATTGAAGCAGTAGAAAGGAAAAGTTGGTCAGTGAAGCTATTTTTTTATACAAAATCAAGCAAATCATGAAAAGAAAACAAGAGAAAAGAAATTTTGAGAGATTGAAGCAGAAAAATAAAATGAGACTTTCTAATTCTAACAAGCTGACTACAAACACATTTGAATGTATCACCCAAACGTGATGCTACTTTAAAGATTTTCTATAGTTTGGTTTGTAAGGATTTGTTATGTTTTTACGACTTGATCACGGATTGATATCAGTTCTATTGAGAAGTCGTGACCAGTGAGGTCCAATTAGATGTCACGTGTGTGGATGGATGTCCCACCAACGACAATGGTTGGGGTCGCGCTAAATCACGAATCGGTAGAAGTTAGAATTCATGAACCATTGGATCGAGTCCCAGTAGCTGAATGGTATACGAGCTTGCCCTGTAACCGGAAGGTCCTGGGTTCGAATCCCAGTGGGTGCGTACTGCCGATGATTTCCAAACTAAGATGAAACAGCAGCTGTTCTGTACTCCCTGGTTTTCAATGGTTCTCTAACTGATATCAATCCGTGATCAACTCGTAAAAACTCTAAAGATTATTAATATTATTATTTCAAATAAGATCTGCTTAGTGAAGTTTTTAAACAATGCGATCAGAAAATTGGAACATTAAGAAAAATGTCAACTTGTAAGAAGCAGTGACCACTTGTATTTTCATGCAATTGGTCATGTACCACATCTGTTGAGTGAGGGTTATCAAACTTCAGTAGATGGAGTGGGATTAGAACTCGTGACGAAGCTACTGCTACTGCTGGGTACCTCATTCAGTGGGTCATATCCCTACTTTTGATCGCAATCTCAAAACATTTGAATAAAAAGATCTGGGCAAATGAAAAGGCATCACTTATCAACAGCTGTCCACCATAATTAGTTCGGAAAGTCTACAGAGTCTAAGTTAAAGGTAAACAGTGACTTCCGTGATGACTGAAACAGAGGAAAGAGGAAGTCTAAAGCCTCTTTAGTAGTATCAGTCAGTGTCACATAAGGAAAGGATATAAGAGGCATTACTTCGGAAGAAGCATTTAAACCCGTAGTGTCACTCACAGGGAAACTAAGTCGATTCACCAGTTCTATAGTTTAAATTAGGCACGAAAATTCAACTTCTTCAATATCATGTAATAACGACAAGGTCAGTCAGCTAAATATAGATGGAGAGAAGTGACTTGGAAAATAGCCCAGCTATGAAAGCACACCCAGTGGTTCATAATCACACTATGAGGTAATTCTCGGTAATACTTCAAATATGCAATTTACTTAGATGCAGAGATAGATCTTTAACGAATCACCATGGAATATCAGCAACAGAACTCTTGCAACAAACACTGTATATATTTAGAAAGTTAGGCTGTTAGTAGAATCGGAGGAACAGTGCACCTTAGCAGTACAAAAACTGATTTCGAAACTTCCATGATCTCAATGATATCATAATGAGGACTAGAGTGACCATTAAACATCATCTGTTAGGTAATATAGTACCACTCGGTGTTACATCAAGTGAACGAAATAAAATAGAATTATACATCGCCATAGTGACCAAGGACTACTTAAAACTTCGGGTGCTAAAAACCTCCGTCTTAATACTGAATTTTATATCTCGTGCTCACATTGTTTTGATCTATAAAAAATATGACCTGTAGTAGTACTGTTAACTCTCGCGAGTATTTAAAATGTTTATAGCCTACTGATTCGCAAATTTCTACTCAACTTAAGAAGACATAATCGTGGGTTGTAATGTATCTCAATACATGAGATAACTGTTCCTGACATTTTTAGTACAAATTCAAGCTCTGGGAAATAAAACTAAGTACCTGCAGTCTTGAATCACTATATTATGTCTGAAAGAAAACCAACCAACCGGGGACATGCACCTTATTTGGTCCGAAAGGTCGACACCTCAGCAGTATGGAGATGGCTGAAACGTTCAGTTTAGCCTTCGCCAAAAAGTTAAAACAGAAATGGAGGCACTACCATTTCATCGGAGGAAGACCTAGTGGCTACCCCCAAATAAACCCGGCAATAGTGCTAGGAAGGCTACAGAGACTCACATCTGGAAAGTCCTCAGGTTGTGATGACATCAGGCCATCTGTTCAGAAACAGTGCGCCGAAGCTCTTTGTAGGCCCTTATACGACTTGTTCCAACACTCGATGGATTCGCGTAAACTGCCAAGGGAGTGGAAAAGAACCATCCTTTCACCGATCTTCAAGGCTGGGGATAGGCAAAATGTCACTGGTTATAGACCAGTAGCCCTACTCC